TCATTCTACCTTTCATTGCCACAGATTATATTAAATCCAGCAGCATTCTCTCCTGAAGTTGCTTGAACCTGTGGCTAATTGCAACTTCAGAGCTTCTGCTGGCAATGACGCAAGGGGAGTAGTGTATATATTCCTGTGGAATAATATCCAGGACGGGAGAAAGAACCCTTGTCTGTTTGAAGTAAGGGTGAATGTTGTCATTACCAAGCTTGAATTAGCATTGGAGTAGCCATGAAGTCTGCAGAGTCAAGCAGTGAGGATATCTGCAGAGAGGAGGCCTGGCCTCTGTTTCCTGGAGGCACCCTCTGTTTGGGAGGTGTTAACTGGCACCTGATTGCTTGCTGTCTGGAGTTCTCCTGTTTCTGAGTGCTGGACACAGAATCTTATCTGAAAACAAAGAAATGCCGGGCCATTCATACCTGCTTCAAGCAGACAAGGGTTCTTTCTCCCACCCTGGACATTATTCCACAGGGATAGAGACACTCCACTTGCTTCATTGTCCAACAGAACCTCTGAAGACCCTGAAGTTTGTGTTTCTGGGTGTTTCCATTTTCAACATGACCCATAAAGGGAAAGGGGGAAATCGTGGAGGTAAAGGAAGGTTCTCGCCTTCATCCTTGATCTTTTGCTTCTTCCTTAACCAGGGAAATGAGGATTCTATGGAGCCAGCCCTTGGATGCAGCAATGAAATCGATAATATAAGACGAAGAACATCTCTCTAGGTGAGGGTCTTGCTGAAAAAAGAAGGAAAAAAGAAGACTGAAGCATCTGTATTGCAATTAAACACCCATATCATGGCTGGCATGAAGGAGAAAGCGTTTATATGCCTGGAATGTGGGAAGAATTTCACTTGGAGATGTCATCTGAAGCGACATCAAAGGACTCACACGGGGGAGAAACCCTATACATGCCTGGAGTGTGGAAAGAGCTTCTCCGAGAGTTCAGATCTAGATAGACATCAAAGGATTCACACGGGGGAGAAACCCTATACATGCCTGGAGTGTGGAAAGAGCTTCTCTGAGAGTTCATATCTACATAAACATCAAAGGATTCACACTGGGGAAAAACCCTATACATGCCTGGAGTGTGAAAAGAGTTTCACTGAAAGTTCAAGTCTACGTTTACATCAAAGGACTCACACTGGGGAGAAACCCTATACATGCCTGGAGTGTGGGCAGAACTTCACTCAGAGTTCAAATCTACGTACACATCAAAGGATTCACACTGGGGAGAAACCCTATACATGTCTGGAGTGTGGGCAAAGCTTCACTGATAATTCAAGTCTATGTTCACATCAAAGGAGTCACACTGGGGAGAAACCCTATACATGCCTGGAGTGTGGGCAGAGCTTCACTGAGAGTGGAAATCTACATACACATCAAAGGATTCACACTGGGGAGAAACCCTATACATGCCTGGAGTGTGGGCTGAGCTTCACTGATAGTTCAAATCTACGTTCACATCAAAGCACTCACACTGGGGAGAAACCCTATACATGCCTGGAGTGTGGGCAGAGCTTCACTCAGAGAGGAAATCTACGTACACATCAAAGGATTCACACTGGGGAGAAACCCTATCCATGCCTGGAGTGTGGGCAAAGCTTCACTGATAGTTCGAGTCTACGTTCACATCAAAGGACTCACACTGGGGAGAAACCCTATACATGCCTGGACTGTGGGCAGAGCTTCACTACGAGTGGAAGTCTACGTACACATCAACGGATTCACACTGGGGAGAAGCCCTATACATGCCTGGAGTGTGGGCAGAGGTTCGCTCAGAGTGGAAGTCTACGTTCACATCAAAGGATTCACACTGGAGAGAAACCCTATGCATGCCTGGAGTGTGGAAAGAGCTTTGCTCATAATTCAGATCTACATAAACATGAAAGGAGTCACACTGGAGAGAAACCCTATAAATGCCTGGAGTGTGGAAAGAGCTTCACTGAGAGTGGAAATCTACGTTCACATCAAAGGATTCATACTGGGGAGAAACCCTATACATGCCTGGAGTGTGGAGAGAGCTTCTCTGACCATACGGGTCTACGTTCACATCGAAGGACTCACACTGGGGAGAAACCCTATACATGCCTGGAGTGTGGACAGAGCTTCACTCAGAGTGGAAATCTACATTCACATCAAAAGATTCACACTGGGGAGAAGCCCTATAAATGCCTGGAGTGTTGAAAGAGCTTTGCTCTTTCAAACCAAAGCACTCACACTGGGGGAAACCCCTATACATATCTGGAGTGTGGAAAGAGCTTCATTCATAGTTCCGATTTACATTTGCATCAAAGGACTCACACTACAGAGAAACCATATACATGCCTGGAGTGTGGACAGAGCTTCACTGAGAGTAGAAGTCTACGTTCACATCAAAGGACTCGCACTAGGGAGAAACCCTATTCATGCCTGGAGTGTGGAAAGAGCTTCACTCAGAGTTCAGGTCTACATTCACATCAAAGAACTTAGACTGGGAGAGAAACCCTATAAACATGTTGTGAGT